TCCTGGTTCTTGTCTGTTCTCCAACACCGATGGTGTGTTCCCTTGAAGCTGTAGGGCTTGACTGTGGGAGGTGCAGGGCTATATCCTCCATATAGAGGAAATACCACAGCAGAACATTTTCTGTTGTAGATGCCATAGTTTTAGCAAAGGGCCTGGTCAATTCTTGGCTGGGGTAAGGTGGGGTGAGAGGGAAGGATGAAGAAGCTGATTGGTTTTTTAAAATTCTTACAACTCGTTTCTCAGAGGTAGGAGTTGAAGAAAAATGCTATATCAAAGACCGATTACATGAAGATGTGGTATATGCATGCAATATAATGTTACTCAGCCATTAAAACAAAAAAGATATATTGCCCTCAGTGACAACATGGACCTACAGGGTATATTATGCTAAGTGAAATAAGTCTGGCAGGGAAAGATAAATACCATATGATTCCACTTATATGTGGAATCTAAAAAAAAAAAAAAACAAAGAAATGAACAAACAAATGAATGAATGAACAGACCCATAAATACAAAGAACAAAATGATAGTTACCAGAGGGGAGGGTATGAAGATGGGCAAAATGGATGAAGAGGAATGGGAGGTACAGGCTTCCAGTGATGAGTGAGTAAGTCATGGGGATGAAAAGTACAACACAAGGAATATAGTCAACGATATTGTATAGTGTTGCATGGTGACAGATGGTGACTACCCTTGTGGTGAGTATAGTACTAACCTATAAACTTGTTGAATCACTACATTGTATACCTGAAACTAATGTAACATTGTGTCAGATATATATATATATATATATATATATAGTTTTATATGTATACTTATATGCAGTTATATGTAGTTACATATATAGTTATATATACATGTGTATATATATAATTGATGTATATATATGTATATGTATGTATGTATCCATATGTAATTGATTCTTTGAACCAAGAGCAGAAAATGATTCCAAAATCATTAGCCCTGTAGTGAAGGCAGAGTCCAGTTATCCTGCCTGATTCCCCTTTCACTTTCTCAAAGCCCACTCTCCATTCACATACAAGTTTTATCTCAGGAAACATATGTACCTTATTTCTTCCTATTGGGAAGGATGATGAATAATTGGTTCGGGAGTAGGCAGAAAAACTGAGGGAGGTCTTTTATGTTCTATGCGTTGCCTTCTTTCCTTTCCTTTGTGCTGGTGCAGTTTCCTGGCACTGATTTTGGGAACCGTGATTACTGGACCACGGAAATTACCTGTTTCCTTGAGAAGAAGCATGGGAAAGAATTTGCCATCAAGCATACAAGGTGGGTGAAGTGGATAGGGAGGTGTTGAGTGGACCTAAGAGGTGGCTGAAGTGGCCACAAGTTAATAAGTTAAGGGGAAAAGCTCAGGACTGGCCAAGGCAGGAATGCCCTCCCTTTCAAAAATCAAAATAACATAACATAATGTAGTTTAAAATCACAGAATATTTAGAGCTTACACAAAGAACGTCAGTTCTCATGCCCCCCTACTGAGACATTCAATAGAGTCTCTTCCAATTCTTTTAGCTTTTTTATCTGGCACTTACTTCATATTTCTCTTATTTTATTTCTTAATTCACAAATAGTAAACATAGCTTTTGCTTTTTTGTTATAGTAATTGGAATGTCGGCTTTCACCTCATGTTGTAGATCTGCCTTCTCCTTCCTCTGTTCCCTCATCCTCCTGATAGTTATACAATTTGTATATCAACACATAGTGTTTGCATTACTGTCGCTGTGTAAATAATATCCACTGTGGAGCCAAGGTAGTATATTTTTATTGTTTTCTGTCTTGAACAACCCTTTGTTGTGAGGTTATAATAATTTATTTAAATAATGTATTTGTTTAACTGTGCCCCATCTCCAATTTATTCCTGAAATGCTTATTCTGTCAAATGTTTATTAGACTTTTCCCTCAAATGATCAACATATCTAATAATCTAAGAAATCAAATTTCTTTTTCTGGGACACTTGCCCCAGCTCCACTGAGAATTCTTTTTAGTCAACCATCGCCATCTGTTGACTGTTGGTGGAATGGAAAGACAGAATTATGAGGTGCAGGGCTGATATTTTTAAGCCAGAAAATGTCCTTACTATGGTATTTGACCTTTGGAATGACAATCTGGAGGAAGGAATATGTCCCTGTGATAGGACTAGAAAAGAGCATATAAAATCTTGAAATATTCTCTCTCCCTTATCCCGTCATCTTCTTCTTTTCTGTGTTTTTCTAGAAGAACGAGTTTGTTCTACAATTCCTTGTGATGCTGTGGTCATTCTGAACCTTTGTCTGATCCAACAAAGGAAAAATGAAAGATGGGCTACCTGTTTTTTTTGTTTGTTTGTTTGTTGTTTTTTAAAATTACAGCTTCGTTGGGTATAGTTGATGTAAGATAAACTACACATATTTAAAGTATATAATTTCAGGGGCTCCTGGGTGGCTCAGTGGTTGAGTGTCTGCCTTTGGCTCAGGGCGTGATCATGGGGTCCTGGGATCAAGTCCCACTTTGGGCTCCCCACCCGGAGCCTGCTTCTCCCTCTGCCTATGTCTCTGCCTCTCTCTGTGTCTCTATGAATAAATAAATAAAATATTTTAAAAATGAAGTATATAATTTCATGGGCTTTGACATATGTATACCCATGAAATTGCTGCCACAATCAAGTTAATGAACATGTTGCTCCTAAAATTTCCCCTTGCCTCTTTGTAAACCATCCCTTAACCCGTTCTCTCCCTTAACCCGTTCTCAAGCAACCACTGGTCTCCTTTCTGTTGGTGTGTATTAGTTTACATTTCCTAACACTTTATAAAAACAGAAAAAGCAATATATACTTTCTGTTGTTGTTTGGCTTATTTGCTTGCATGATTATTTTGAGATTCATCGTGTTATGTGCATTAGTAGTTTATTTCATTTTATTGCTGACTGATATTCTATTGTCTGGATTTGTCACAATTGATATATCCATTCATCTGTTGATGGATATTTGAGTTGTTTCCAATTTTTTTGGTTATTACAGAGAAAACTATAATGAATATTTGTGCATAAGCCTTTGTGCTGACATATGTTGTCATTTCCCTTGGGTCACTACTTAGGAGTGGAATGTTTAGATCATATGGTAGGCGTATGCTTAACTCTAATTCAAAGAAACTGCCAGACCATTTTTACAAACTGGTTGTACCATTTTACATTCTCACCACGATCTTGTGAGAGTTCCACTTCTTGCCAATACTTGATATGGTCAGTCTTTTTAATTTTAGCTATTGTAGTAGTTGTGTAGTGTTTTCTCATTGCAGTGAATCCGATTTGCACTTCCCTAATGACTAATGATGTTGAGCATCTTTTCACGTGCTTATTTTGACCTATTCATTTTTAAATACTTCACTGGTATTAAACAGGGCTAACCTTAATTTTGAGCAAAGGAGATGATATTACATGACAGGTACCATAGAAGAATCTCATTCACCAGTTGGCTATGAAATTCTTAACTGACTTGAAATTTCCACACCTGAGGGATAAAGTTACTCTTTTGAGTTAAGAGAACCAATATAAGGAGCAGTTTCTAAAAAAGATGTTTTGAGGAAAAATGAAGGGACAGCCTTGGATGTTTTCTCCCCCCATTTTCTTCCATTAGAACAGATTGTTTTCTAGATTAGCCTCGGGTCATTTCAGAAATTATAGAGAGTGTGCTTTGAGGGTATGGCAGAGTGGCTGTAGTCCTTAGAGGAGATAGAGAGGAAGGAATAGGGGATGAAGAACTGCAAAGGAATTTGAAGTGGCAGGCCAGATAGTACACCCTGCCTGGTAAGCTCTGGGGGAGTTCAGGGGGTGTATGGCCAGGTGGGTGAGACCAAGAGAAGAAGAGGAAGAAAAGTGTGAACACTTGATTAGGTCAGGAAAGGCAGGCCCCAGATAATGGAGTACCAGAAGGGGGAGACTAAGACCAGAAACGGGGGGGCAATGCCGAATATAAAAATTACCTGCTTCATAGATTTATTCAGAGCAGCGTTTGTTACTTTAGAACATCCTAGATTAGAACAGCTTCTATTCTCAGTCTTCTCTTCTACAAACTAGATTCCTTCAACTTTGGGCTTTTGTGTCCCGTTGTCCCCCCGCCCCCTGCTTTCCCAGCATTCCCTTTGGGCTTCATGTAACAAAAGAAGGATGTTGCTTAATGTGGAGGCAGCCACAGCCACAGCTCACTTCCTTGCCCACCTACCTCCATAACCAGAATCTTCAGTGGCTGTTTCCTTGACAACACAGTGTAGTGATTAAGAGTTAAGGCTCTTGGAGCCCACCTGCCTGAGTTGAACAATTATTGTCAATTAATGAATTAGTTAGCGTTCAACCATTTATCAGCTGTAACTGTGGGCAGGCTGCTTAATCTTGCTGTACCTCCATTTCTTTATATGAAAGAAAAGATGAGACGATTAACCTTCCTTAGAGAGTTGTGAAAATTAAATGAGTTCATATTTTAAAAATGTTTCAAACATTGCCTGGTAGGTTTTAAGCTCTCAAGTGTTAGCTATTAATTTAAACTCCTTAGACCACTTTCAAAGTGCCTCTAATTTGGCCTCTTCCCACTTTCCATTCCATTGCTTCCTATCTACTTCAAGTTTTGCTGGTTTCCTCACTGAAGCATGAATCTATGCACAACTCTAGGTGGTTTTCTTTGCCCTGGAAGGCCCTTAACAATTCAAATCCTACTCAATCTTCAAAGATCACTCCAAATCCCATCCCTTCTATTGGCTCTTATTATTATTTCTTTAGTTCTCGTCGTCTATCTTCCCATCTGAATTCATAGCACCACAGAATTTAGGGAATGATTGCACACTCATCACTTCTTCATGTGAATCGGTTTTTTTCCTGAATGGCCTATAAACATCCTGAGGGGTGGAAGTAATACCTGATTCTGCTGAGCCCTCTTTCAATGGAGTGAATACATTGTCTTTACTCCATTTCAAGCATCTGTAAAGAGATTCAACACAGGCAACAGAAGAGCATGTGAAGAATTCATAGCTTTATTTTTTTTAAGATTTTATCTATTTATTCATGAGAGACACAGAGAAAGAGGCAGAGACACAGGCAGAGGGAGAAGCAGGCTTCATGCAGGGAGCCTGATGCATGACTTGACCCCAGGACCCCGGAACCACGCCCCGAGCCAAAGGCAGACATTTAACTACTGAGCCACACAGGCATCCCAATTCATAGCTTTAATAAAGATTAGTTAGGGGTGGGAATGCTAGCTTCTTTCCTATCTGTGCCATTCTCCAAAGGCAGAGTTTCCTTTCTCCTAAGATCCAGACAACCCCTATTTCATTTCTGAACCAAGAAAGAACACATCTTACCCACTTTTATTTGTCAAATAGACTCCATCCTTAATCATTTCCTCCTCTTTCCATCTTCTAAGAGAAAATATCGTTACATTTTTAATCTCTCATAGGTAAATGATCATGTCTTCCTCTTTCAACTCTTTCCTCTTGAAAAAATTTTCTACTGGTCATCAAGCTTCTAAGTTTGTTGGGGTGATTTCAGGAGTAGCTAGACTAGAACAATTGCTTATTATAACTGGGCCTGAGAAAATTGACAAAGAGCACTTACAGAGATCTAGATTGCAAAAGGTTTGCCCAGAATCCTTGTTCTCTGATCGTTTCAGTCCTGGACTGCAGCCTTATCTGACTCTGGTTGAATGTCATTATTTCAGCTGTCTTTTTTTTTTTTTAAGACTTTATGTATTCATGAGAGACACACAGAGAGAGGCAGAGACACAGGCAGAGGGAGAAGCAGGCTCCCTGCAGGAAGACCTGTGTGGGACTCGATCCTGGTATCATTCCCTAAGGCAAAGGCAGACGCTCAATCACTGAGCCACCCAGGCATCCTTTTCAGGTGTCTTCTAGTTCCTAATGTTCCCTTCACTGATTTCTTCATGTTCTTCTCTGTCTCTAACCCCTGATCATTTCTACACCAGCCACAGGGTTGCTGGCCTAGTTACTGAATGCAAAGCCACAGAACAAAGAGCCCAGACATGAGTGGAGCCAGGAGGGTTCCTGAGGAAAGAGGAACCCCAGCATCTGAGGGGAAGAGGTGCAGTTTTTCTAAGTCTGGCAGGAAAGCTCGGGCATCCTCCAAAGCTGCCTGAGCTGCCATAGTGAAGTTGGGGTCACCAGAGATCAAAACATCAAAGACACAGGAATGGAAGTAAGCATCTTCAACTGGCAGCCCTTCCTTGCACAGCTGTTTAGCAGTATCAATGTTTATAGCTCCCCGACGACTGCGATCTGAGCGGGAGAGTCGCTGACTTGGGGGGCACCCCCCGACACAGAGCTGCAGGTCCTGCTCAGCTGAGAAGGCCCTGGCCACATCCTCCGCTACCTTGATGGAGAAGGAGAGCTGCCCGGCTGATTGCCGAATGATTATAGTTGTGCCAATATAGGCAGCTCGGATCTCCACATGATTCCCAGGGTTAGCAGTTCGAATGGACAAACTTGAACCCCCAGGTCGGTGGCCTCCATTGATAGAACCATCTTCAAAGGCTGCTGGAAGATTGTCCACCTCAGCCTGGTAGACCTTCTGGTCAATGCATTCCTGCATGTTCTTAAATATAATGGTGAGCTGTGAAGGCAAGCAGGAAAACAGTTCATTTTGGGCTCAGTGCTTCCTCCACTTACCACAACCACGCAGTCAGGGATCTGATCTGGGCAGAGACGCCAGGCTTACTGCTGGGGCGGGGGTGTCTACCCCCACTCTGATCCCTTCTCTTGGTGCTCTAGAATTGCCCCAGCCCCACTCCACTCCTCCCTCTCCTTTCTGGTCTCAATCTCAGCAACTCACAGGGGAAGGGAGTTTCCCTAACTCCTCAACCTAGGACTCCTCCGCTCTCCTCTCAACGTTCTCTTGTGTCTTCTGCATCTGCCTGACACTCCCAGCCAGGGAAAGTGACTTGAGGAGCAAGTTCTTGGTGGGACGGGGTGGCGGGAGATGCGGGAGCAGTCAGGAGGAGAGGGAATAGCGAGCGTCTCTGCGGAACCGTGGGGATGGGAGGGAGTGGTACCGTGGGGCGACCGTGACGGGGCCTGGAGGAGCTGCTGAGTCCCTGACCTTCCGCGTGGCGGTGGCGTTGGCCCCCGATGCCACGGGGGAGCTGGTCGCCTGGACAAAAAGGAAGTCATTATCCAGCAGGGGCCAAGCTCCCTGGACACGGCACGTGTGAAAGTGGTGGTGGAAGCTGCGCACGTGGGGGTCCCCGAAGGAGGCGCAATGCAGGAAGCCTGGGGGACGACCGTGCAGCCGGGAAAACTGGCCTTCGTAGTCACAGGGGTCCGGGGCTGGGGGGCCAGAGGAGCGGACAGGGCCGGAGCCCGGAAGGGCTGGGCCGCGGGGCGGGGGAGGGGCCGTGGGGCCCTGGCGGGAGCAGTTGTGCTGAATCATCAGGTCTTCGATGCCGTGCACGGCCGAATGGAAGGCCAGGTCTCCGCGGCAGGTGCGGGCGGTGCGCCGGGTGCAGAGAGCGTAGGAGCGGAGGGCTCGGCAGAGGCCGCCGGAGCCCACGGCTCCACCCCGGCCCCCAGCTTCTGCCCCTCCTCCTGCTCCTCCAGCTCCTCCAGCTCCTCCTCCTCCTCCTCCCCCTCTCCTTCCTCCTCCTCCTCCTCCTCCTCCTCGAAGCGCTCCCGGTGAGCCCCCACCTCTAAGGCTCAGGGTGGATGATACATACTCAGCATTGCAGCGGAGGATCTTGCATTGAGAGTGAGCTGAGGACAAAGGGAGAGGATTATGAGATGGCTCTTGGATCCCCACTTAATTCTCCCAAATCTGATGAAGGAAATTTCAGCTGCTCCTAAAACCCAACTGATCCCAAGTTCCAGTCCAGTCCCTGGTCCTCAGCCCCCAGCTCCCTAGTTCCTGTGTTCACCAGGTCTTGCTAAAAATGTGTAAGCCCGCTAGGTCTCTTCTCCCTATGGATCAAGGGCTTTTCCAGTGTCCTTCCCCAAGGCGAATGGGAAATAAAATATATATCTATTTGAGAGCCAGGCGAGTGACTGGAACTCTCCAGCACCTGTCCCTTCTCCACACACATGCTCACCTGCCCACCCTTGCACAGCAGAGGACCCTCTAGGTTCCCCAGCCCTTCCCTAGCCCTTCCTTACCATGTCCACAGAGAAGGAGCAGGAGGGTGAGAGTGCTTAGAGTTGGGGGGCTGCCATGGGGAGACCAGCCTGGATCCCCCATACCTATGCGGCCAGGTCCCCCCAGGCTCCGGCTTTTTCCAGCTGACGACCCTCCTACCTAGTGAATTTTGACCGGACCTCCTGTAAAGGACTGAAAAAAGAAACTTGGCTGGGCATGGGGAGAGAGAAGAGTCGAAGATCATTCAGGATGATGTGAAGAGAATCTGGGAAGATCAGGAAAAAGGATGAGCAGTCTGGAGTTTGGGGAGAATAGGGCTCCCCCAACTGTAAGTGTGGCTGTTAAGCCTCTGTGCCTTGTTCTTGTGGCCACTTTCAGGTCCCTTATGCAACACCCTGAGGTGGGGGTGGAAGGAAGGTTGACTAGACTGGCTGGAGGGGGGGGGCAGAGTCCACTGTATTGCCCCATTCTGCATTCTGAGCTACCAAACAGTAGAAATGTCAAAAAAAAAAAAAAAAAGGAGGGATTGTGGGGATGGATCAGACCCCAGTCATCCCAGTGGGCTCCTCAATATAATTAGGATTTAAAAATACTTGGAAAACACACCTCTTATTTGCTTCTCCCCATCCAGAGGGGACACCCTCCAGGGGTCATTCATTTCTCTTCCTCCTTTGTGTCAGAATGTTTAGCAAGAAGGAGTGAGGGTGGAATACCCATTCCCTCTTTAGAACATCAGTATTCAAATGAAAAGGGACCAATCTCTTTCATCTGAGACAGCTAAGATTATAATCCCCCTCTCTCACAGAATAACGGGTTGCAAACCAAGCATGCAAATCCATTCTTGTGTGTGTTGAGTCAACAGTTCTTGTATTTTCTTTATTTTTCCAAATCTGACTGAAGAATCACTCTTTTCATCTTTCCTTTGCAAATTCAGAAGTTCTCAGTCTTTTGCAGAGGACAGGCCTTGGGGCCTTGGGGCCTGTCCTCTGCAAAACTCCTCCTGCAAAACCCTTCCTGCCAAACTCCCCATTCTTGGCGTAAGGGTATGATTGGGGTCAAAGTCATGCAGGAGGGAGAATAGGGTGGGAAGACTGAGTGTGGAAATAAATAATTTACAACAAGACATAGCCCCTACCCTTGGAAGCCCAATGTGAAGGTCACTGCCAAGTAGGGGCAGGTAGAAGAGTACCAGTGACTAATCATCTGAGGCTAAATCTGGCCATGGTGAGAAAACTACAGAATAGGGCATATAAGAAACTCCTAAAACTTCACCAGAAGTCTGAGGCAACAGAGTAAGGAGAGAGCTAAAACGGCCAGAGGAGAGACAGAAGATGAAACTTCAAGAGGCAAGTGGCCAGCAGCCAGAAAGAAATAAGACAGGAGGAGAAATGGAGATGGGGCACCTTGGTATGAAAAGAGATCCTAGCTTTTGGACTAGAGACATTCAAGTAGGTGTCATAATTTTCTGAAAGTCTAACTTCATTCCAAAAGCATATTAAAGGAATTGCAATTTCATTTTGACTTACTGTTTCCAGAGGTCAAACATTACTCTGATATCCAATTTTCCAGCCATGACTGCCTACTCTGTCGGTCAGCTCCAGCCAGGGGATCCCCCGTCTTTCTCCATGTCTCCCCCAGGTCCCCAGACTGGCTGCAATCTCACTGAGGTTAGGGAACCAGAGAAGATTTGGGTGGGGGGAAGGGGGAGTAAATGGCTGGCCAGAGTACTGGACAGCTGAGCGGGGGGGAGGGAGGTGGCTACTGAGTTGACTGTTTTAAAAATAGCTAAGTCCAAAATTCCAGGAACGTCAGTGGCGGTAGGGTGTAGGTTGGGGGGATGGGGAGGATAGAAGGATTAGAAAGAATATGGAATATAGAGTGCCAAGTGGGGAAGGGGTGACAGAAATATTATAGGCAAGTCAGATATCCACTTCCAGGTTATGTGACTCTAGTCACTGCCTACTCCAGGCAGCCCTCCAGCATTCTCAGTAATGAGCTCCCAGCCTTTAAAAACTAAAGTGGGAAATTACACTCTTTCTTTCACTGCTTTCATCCCTGCTATATTGAAGATTGCATTTAGTTTCTATCGGTCACATCTAGAAGGTAGGTGACTTCAGATAGGGTCCATAGCAGAGGTAGTTCACACCCCTTCCCCCATCTTTGCAGAGTATTTCAGAAGGACTAAAAAAGCCAGCTGTCCAGTGGAGAAATCCGAGCTCTGAGTTGCCTAGGTCTGTCTCAGTCTACCAGAACAGATCCTTGCAGCTGTCTATCCCCCTGGCTCCTCCATTTCATTCTCTTAGTTTATACAGTAATTCCTCTTCCTTCCCTCTTAACCAATTCACACACAAAATATAAGCTCCCTAGTTGTTAGAGGAGGAGGCTAGCAGAGGCAAAAAGGTGAAGAAGGAATAAGAATAGAGTTTTTTGAAGGTTATTAATCCACAGCGTTGGGGGGTGGATTGGGACTTGGAAAGATAATGTGAGATAAGAAGAGAGTCAGAAAGATACTTTTGTGGAATAACATAATCTTGTGACCTTTTAAGATATTGCAACCAAGGAATTTAGCCATATCTTATTTTTGCAGTTATAGGCATCTGGGATCATCATCTCTTATATTTGCCAAGTGAAGTGAACACAAAGGCTGATTCCAAATAGTGTCACTAAGGCATTTGCTTAATTGGCTTGCATTTAATTCAGAATCTAGCAGTCTGCACAGTACTCTTATTATGCATGAATTTCTGAAAAATTTAGATTTCTCTCAACCACATGAGTCCATAGCACAAGGATTTTATTGCAAAAAATATGAAATACCAACCAAACTATTCAAGTGACTTTAAAACACAGTAATTTGACTATGACATCCCAAGTGGGATTTACTCTAGGGACAAAAAGAAATGCAAAAATATTTTCAAGTAGTCATATCATTGGTGGTAGTATTGGTATTGTCATTGTGCAACTATTGTGGGTGGTAGTATTGGTATTGGTATTGTGCAACTATCATGGGTGTTATTGTGCAACTACCATTGTAAAATAAACAAACAAGGATTAATGCTAGCATCTTTGTGAACCAGGATTTTTGGTGTAGAATAAGGAGATACAGATTTATCCTTGATGAAATTAAGTAAAAACTCTGTAATTCTGATTTAAATTGGAAATAAAACTGCGAGCTTGAGGCATATTTTATCCTAAAACATTTCCTAGCTTATGCTGATAAGGCCTAGAAATGATAACCCAATGGCCATACCTACATCCAAACTGAGCTTTCTAAACACCATTTCCCACTGAAAGGAACTCATTAGAGAAATGGCTCATTTCAGGTACGAGTGAGGAATTGTCCAAGCTAAGCAAGGAAACCTTTAAAAACTATTAGGATTGCATCAAAAGGACTCAGAAACAACTGAATAGTTTGCACTGACCCAAGATGAGACAATTTGAGTGTCAAAAGGATACTATTTGTGTATTTGATATGTTCAACTATCATATTTGTATCAAATATGTTTAAATCTATGAGTTTCCAACAATACTTAAAAACACAAACTCCTTACTGGAGAATGCTAGGGGATCAACTCGTTATTTTGAAAACTGCTAGTAATTGGAAAGAATCAAACGTTTATCCTATTCTTACTGTGGGAATTCAAGATGAGGGGGAAATTTCTCTTTATAGAAGTTTTCTAGCAGATAACTGAAAAAGGAATGGCATAATTAGAATATCAACATTTATAGTTCTCTCTTCTAGAATTTGGGCCTCTTTTGGATACTTTTGAACTAGAGTTTAGCATAGTAAGGGCCAATTTTGGAGTGAATATTGCCAAGAAGCAGAGTTATTTCAATGACTGGGTATATACTTGGGAGGCAAAAGAACTGAACAGGGATTGGAACTGAAACTGGTTAAAACGACAAAAAAGCAGCAGTTACTCATGTTAGTCAGAGGAGGGGATGATTCCTCATTTTTGTGGTTGCAGAGGGTCTTGTCTGTATTTTATTCCAAACTCAGTTGTGGAGAGTCTGATAAGCTGAGAGATAATAATTATCAACCTTGACTTCTATACTCAGCTTAAGTATTATTCCAGAATTAAAAATAAGAAAAACATTTCAAACAAAACAAGAGCACCAATAAATCCACATCAAAATAACCATTAAAAAGATTTACTAGCAAGAATGATTTTGAGCAAAGAAGGATGGATTAACGTGAAAGAAGGAATGGTAAACAAAGAAATACATATGTGATTGAATCTAAATACTGAATACTGTATGTTTAAAAATGACTGCCTCTGGCAGTAAACACAATAATAACACATAAAACAGAATGGGACTTGTAATTAAAGCTGTTTGAGCTTTTCATATTGTTTGGGAAGAATGTGTCAAAACTGATTTTATACTTTAATTAATATTTAAGTCTGTGTTGTAAGGGTAGGCACCAAAATAATAGAAAACATAGAGGAGGAAAAGGGAATTCAGATAACAAAACAAGACAAAAACTTGATCAATCCAAAAGAAGACAAGAAAGGAGAAAAAAAGAAAAGAAAAAGTGTATATTAAATCACAATAATAATTCACAATCTAAATTTTAAAACTGGGGAATTCTCACTGCTCTGTAGATATGATTTTGGAGAAAGGAAGGGTTGGAAGCAAAGTCCCCCATCCAGTACTATGACTGTGGTCAGGAAACAATGAGAAGTAGGCAGTGTTGAGACATATTTTAAAGGTAAAGCTACAGGACTTTTTGATGCTCAGATGTTCCCAGGACTGATTTTTACTAGTTTTGACAATGACTGATTTTTGAAGTAAATGAGATCATTTCTTTCATGATTGTTTTCTTGTAAGGCCTTAAATTGCTCTGTTTTCTATAATTCCATGGCCCTTGACAGGAAGTTTCCCAACTCTTCAAGAAGATGGCCACTAGTACTTTGTTGCACCCCTCAGGATGATTCAGAACATGGTTCAAGTTATTTAGATCTTTCCCATCCCATTTACAGACCCATCACCTTTACCCCTTTAGGGTCACCTCTACAATACTTTTAAGTTACTGCATGGTCCTTCAGGGTTATAAAGCTGTAAAGAAGCTGCACCAGGAAAGGTAGTGGAACCAGCTAGATAACATATTATTTGTACTAGTGTGAAAAATCCCACCCGTGGCTAAGAGGTGAGCAATATTTGAAAGCACAGACAAGGTTAAATGACAGGAGAAACACAGCAAGAGGATGTCGTGTGGGTTTTAGAAATGAGTACAGAGAATTGTCATGAGACACATTAAAACGGATCTACCTGGACAAGGGTACTCATCATAGTAGAAATAGTTTATCGTTGATCATCTACTGGTACCACATGCTATGCTGAGTGATCTGATGATAGCATTTCTAA